GGGGCAGGCTTCCCTCTCTCAACGTGGAGAACAGTCCCCAGTGGATTCTCTTCTGGCTTCCTGGATGGATGGTTCTCCTTGTTGAATTTCTGAGTCAATTTCCTCAATTCAAACAGCAGCTCCTGGCTGCTAGAATTTTCTGTTTCCTCACTGCCCTCTAACTCAGCATCCAGGGTGAGCTCTGTGTTTTTCTGAAGGGATCTCCTTTCCTCAAACTCTTTCAGCAAAGTTTCTTCTCTGCCCCTGGCCTTTCATCTTGCTCACGTCTGAAATCTCAGGGCCCACAGGCCCAGGCAGCCGTCCAGGCCCGCTCTGGCCTTCAGCCCCGTTTGCTGCTGCAGCCCCTGAGCGTCCAAGGATTTGCCTTGTCTGCATTCATCCGTGCTTCACTCACTCCACCAGGAACAGGTTTTTCCTCTTCGTCACTCCCCTCCTCTTCCTCACTCGTCGAGGCTACTTGGGGTTTCCGTGTCAGTTCTTTGTTCTTGGTCAATTGTTCCTGCACAGCCTGGCGAGCCTCCAGGTCCTATCTGGCCATACCTGTCACTGACTTGGCCCGTTTCCCGCTGTCCTGGTGCTGAAGGCGCATGCGCTCCATCATTCTGCCTTTTCCCATTTTTTCCAGTGCAGCAGTGACATCCTCCTTCTTCAAGTGCTCCTTTAGTTTCTTGGTCTTCCTTTTCCTCAGCATTCTGTGAAATTTCTTGCTTTTGATTTTCGTCTCTCTCCCTGCTCTGGCCTCGTAGTAGGAGTGCAGAGCCCGGGCCCTCTGAAGCTCTGCTCGGTGCAGCCGAGCCTCTTCCAGGCCATGGCTTTGAGCGAGGCCTTTTCCACTGGAGTCAGTAAAGGGTCAGTCACTGGCTGCTTGTTCCTTGTTCTTGTGGAGCAGGTTACAAACTTCCTGCTGGGGTGGGGGTGCTCGCCTGCCAGCCGCTGAGCACATACATGGGAGCAAAGGCTGGCTGCTCCTGCTGCAGAGGAAAGGCCAGCTGCTGTGCCTGCCGGTTCTTCTGAATGCCAGGATCCCATCTGGAGAGAACCTGGGAGGTCTCACTGAATGCTGCTTCTCTGCGGATCTGCTCAGCCTTCTCCTTACTCAGGGGCAGTTGCAGAGGTGGAATGGCGCACTGTCTCTGAATACAATGGGCTTCTAGCACAGACCTCAGCCACCTCCATGAAATGGGCAGGTAAACCAAATCCGTTTTTACTAGTTTGATTTCTGCCGTCTTGACTGCTGACCAATCTTTGCTTAATTATAATAGTGAAAACCCACATCAGCAGGAGGATTTTGAGATGTTAACGAAACATGCAGTATGTTAACTAAGTTAACCCAATTGCATCCATGTGAACAAAGTCCCAGGCTGAACATGATAAAGGATCCTCCCTCCAGGAAAGGGTGCCTCCCTGAGCTGCAAAACCCGGAGCCAACACTGCACCCGGCCACCGACCACAGCAGTGTGCCCAGAAGCCTGCAGCTTTCCCTCTTGAGGCCTCGGCTGTTTTCCTCAGGTACGTCTCCTTGCTTACCCTGTGTTGGTGTTTGGATTAAGATGGATTATTGTGAGGTCCCAGTGGTAGGAGACCTTGTCTGAAGGCAGAAGAGAATTGAAGGATGAGAACGAGACAAAGGCCACTGGGAAGAAAGGATTTATTGGCGGAGAAACAGTACCCATGGCATGGGCAGGCTTCTGGGCACACTCTGCTGTGGCCGGCGGCCGGGTGCAGTGTTGGCCCATTTTGTTCAGAGACAGTGCGACATTCTTTATGTTTGGGTTGCTAGCCTAGGCCAGTCACTTCCCTGCCCCGTCCTACTGTGGGCTGTCTCCCCTGCCTCACTAGGTGCAGAGGTTTGGCATGGCAGTTAACCTGCTGGCTGAGACACCCACATCCCAAATTACGTTTGGTTCCCAGCTCCTCTCCCTTCGGGTCCAGTCGCCAGTCCACGCAGGAGGCAGCAGGCAGCTCTGCTTTGAGTCTCTCCAGTTACTTTTCCACAGTAGCGGAAGAGGACGAAGTTTCTTTGCTATTTAATAGGAAAAGGTGGCTGAAGGGGAAGTTGCTAGATTTTAGTTTGTCAATTTCTATGATAAATTTTTAGGTTTTCTTTCTTGGCATTGTTGTCCAAACTGTCATTTGCAAAGCAAATCACAATTGCTTGAATGTCAAAGTTTGGAATCATTTTATTGTACTTGTGTATCTAAATTTAATTAACTCATTTTTCTCCAGCTTTACAGTGTTCAGGCAGCATATTAATTTTTTAAAAAGCAGTAATACTTTACCCTCCAATATTAAACATTTTGTAATTTAAAAAAATTAGTGAACAGTACTATTCTGTATTTCCTTGTCTATAAATCACTTTAAAATATGAATCCACATACTAACTGGAACTCCAATATAAATGTTTGGTACAAAGAGCTAGTAATAAGTTATTCAAGGCTTAGAGCACCAAGAATTTTAAAACGATTAAAAAAAGTTATGATGCTAAATATGGTTTTACATGGGTGCAGTTCTCTGCTTACAAATTTTCTGCTCTCTAAATGAAATGGCTAGAGCTTCCAAACTCGGGCCAATACTTTAGGTGCGGGATGAGAAAATACTTTTCTGGAACTAAGCTCCCTGGTACACTTAAATACTGACTGAAGGTATATTACAGCTAAATAAATGACTGCAAAACCACTACGTTAAGAGAGCAATCCGTGATGGTTTTTAGCTGGCCGGCAGATGAGTCAGAGACCATGGCAAACGTTATTCAAGTGCTTCAGTACCGCTGGCCGTGCTGAAGGCATACAGGGACCAACTCCGATAGGCTCTCCCAGACTGTGAAGGGGTTTTTCAAAATGTATTATTATTTATTTTTAAAAAGATGTATTTATTTTGATTGGAAAGACATATATACAGATAAGACAAGAGACAGAGAGGAAGAACTTCCGCCGGATGGTTCCCTCCGCAAGTGGCGGCAACAGCGAAAGCTGAGCTGATCCGAAGCCAGGAGCCAGGCGCTTCTGCTGGGTCTCCCAGGAAGCTGCAGGTCTCAAGGCTTTGAGTTGTCTTCCATGGCTTTCCTAGGCCATGAGCGGGAGGCTGGATGGGAAGCGAGGCTAAGCTATCATACCGGATCTTTGTTTTTTTTTTAATATATATAACTTCAAGACTATTATTCAAGTTTAGATGTTTTTTATTGTTCTAATTTTTAAAAAAAATTTTATTTTTTTTATGACAAAGGTCCATGGCTCAACGAGAGCTGCAATTACACGGTATGTTTTAGGGACTTGCATCGGTCCCTGTAAGGCTGAGTGGTAAGGCCGTTCTTTTTATAATTAGATATTATTTTATATATTCCACCTCAATTGTTCCCCTCTCCCACTGTTTTCCCCCTATATTAAAATATAGTCCTTCAGCAATAATCACAAGCCCATTATTCTGCTATCTAAGTGTATCTCAGCTGTGCAGGGTTTTAAAGAAGTCTTCAAAGGTCTTTTAAGGGTATTATTTCACAAATCATGCCCAATTGAGCATCCATCGCAGCCCCTTAGCGCAAACAAGGCTGCGGACCACACATTTCCTAGTGTCTCCCGAGCCGTGGGCGGGGGTCTCCGCCTCAAGGCTTCGGGACTTAGTTAAGAACATCGAGTAAGGGGGCAGAAAGCTAGAGGGCTCTCCATGCCATTGGGAGTCTAAGGAGAAAAGAAATCGCCCCCGGGAGCTTACAATCCCCCGTATTCTAGGTCCACACAAAAACGTTCATGGCCTAGGAACACGGATTTCCAGTGAATTATTTTTCTTTAAATGCTCAGGACCAAGCGCTGCGCAGGGAACCACACCCCACAGCACGTCCACACCCTGTCACGATGGGATCTGGTTTTCTAATGCCTCCCCCCTCCCAGGTGCAGGCAAACTGCATCTTCTCTCTGGCACGATGCCACCCCCACCCCGACTCTGACAACGCATTCTGCTTCGCCTCTGGAGGAAACACTGCCTCACTCACCCAGGGCAGAGAAAAGGCGGTTCTGTGGGTCCTGGCTCCTACACAGAGCCTTCTCTGTCCCGCGTGAAGTGCTGACGTACAGGCTGGGTTTGCAGCCCGTCAGACGCCTGCGGAAGCGCCCCCCAAGCCGCACACGTGGCCGTGGTCCCCGGCGGCCGCACGGCGAGAGGCCGCGATCGTGGCTGGGTCCAAGGCACGGGTAGGCAGGCCAGCCACGCGCAGTCACAGCATTTTGGGCCATCTTTAAAAAAAAAAAAAGCCAAGGGAAAAGTCATTGTTCTTTCGTAATCCAGAGAGGCCGGAGTTGCGTCTCATTTCCATCACGGTGGGACAGTCCCTCAACGGCTAAGGGGACACCTGACCCTCCCATAATACTTCCTAACCAGAACTCGGCGTGGAGACGCATAGCAGCGGCGGCCCCAGGTCTCGGGGGGGCTGCTAACGCAGGGCAGCGTCCACTGGGGACCCGAGCAGGATCTCATCCCCCCTCCGTGACGAGCGGCCCACGGGGAGCCCAAGGTCCACGTGGAGCAGGCGCGCGAGCGCCCAGGTCCAGCTCGCGAGCCAAGATGACTCAGAGCGCGCCCCACGTGACCCGCACTCTCCACCGGGGCCGTGCCCACCCAGAGGCGCCCCCCGGTCCGAACCCCTCCGGCGCATGCCCGCTGCTGCAGAGCGTGCGCCCTCAGGCCGCCGCACAGCGCCTGAGAACGGCTGGCTGGGGACGCGAACTCGTACACCTTCCTCAGCCACGCCGGGCAAGCTCTACGCTCTCTCCCGTCGCCCAGGGCTGTCAGGACACTTCCGCCAGGTTGCCAGGCACGTGATCACGCGAGACCCGGCGGCGCTGCCGGCCCCGCGCGCCCAGCCCCCCTCCCGGCGCCCCGGCGCGCCTGCGCACGCCGCCTCTCGCGGTGTCTCGCGCTCCGCCCCGCCCCGCGCGGCCCCGCCCTTTCCGCCCCGCCCGCCCCTCCGCCCTGTCTCTCGGCGGCGGCGGCGGCTCCTCGCGCGGCTCGCTTGCTCGCTATATAAAGGGGAGAAGCGAGCGGACGGACGGCTGGAGCTGCAGCCGGTGGCGGCAGCGGCGGCGCGGGGAGCGGTGACCGGTGGTTTCCCTCCTTGGCACGGGGTGGGGAGTGGGCAACGCCCCCGGGACCCCTCCAGGGGCTTGGCTTTTTTTTTTTTTTTAGGGCATTTCTCGAGGTTTTTAGCTGCGGTAGGAGAGTGTCCCCTTCCTGTTCCTCTCACCGCTTTCCCCCCCCCTTCAGAATCGATTTTAATTTTTTTTCCTTTTTTTTTTTGGCTTTGATCTGTGGTGACTTGAGTCACCCTCCGGGTGTTTTTTTTTTTTTTCTTCCTCTCCCCCCCCCTTTTTTTTTCTCGTGTGTGTTTGTTTGTTTTCCCGGGGTTTTTTTTTTTTTTTTTTTGCTCCCCTCTTGTTTGTGTTGTGTGTGGAAATGGCGAACTCGGCAAATACAAACACCGTGGTAAGGACGTGGTTCGGCGGCCGGAGGGGGCTTGAGCGGCGAGGCGGCAGCAACGGCCGGGAGCGGGAGCGGGCGGGCGGGGGCGGGGACGGCGGCGACTCCCGGCCTCCTGTCCGGAACCTTCCCGCCTCGGGCGGCGGGGCCTCGGGGGGCGCCGGGCGGGCTGGCGGCGGGGCCGGGGCGGGGGGCGCCGGCGGGGCCGGGGCGGGCCGGGCGCGGAGGCCGCGGGGCCCCCGGGACCCCCAGCACCCCGAGGAGCCCGGCCCGAGGGCGGGCGGCCGGGCGGCCGGGCGGGCAGCCAGCCGGCTTCGGCCCGGAGCGGCCTCGGAGGGCGAGCCGAGGCTGGGGAATTGGGCCGGTCCCCAGCACCCGCCGGAATCCACTTGAATGCAGTGGAAGGCTTACGGTTACTTTGGAGGGGGGGTGTTACTTTTTTTTTCCCTTTTTTTTTTCTGGCGGTTATGCTTTGGGAAGCTTAAGTTGGGGCCATTTTATGTTTGAGAGAGGGGGGAAAAAAAAAGACGAAGGTTGAAAAGCAGTTATCTCAGTTCCTTCGGAAGGGGTAAAATGGCGAAGGGGAAGGAAAACTCCCGTCGTATCTTCAACTAGCAAAAGCACCAAGACAAACCTCCCAAAAAGCCTCCAGTGGTCAAAGTGCCCCCCGCTTTTCGCCTTGAAATTTGCCTACTTGGACCCTTTGAGCCCCGTTTTTGGTTACTTGCGATCACGTAGGTTTGCAAAAAGCAGTCACATAAATAACCTTTTCAGCCCCCAACGCAATGTGATCACTCTAGTCCACCCAACTCTTCTTTTTGACTGTGACAATAAAACACGATGTTGCCCGGTCCCGAATACCGCAGACCAAGCCGCGGCCGTCCGACACCCGTACCGTTGGCGGCTCGGCTCGATCCATCATGGCTGCGGCCGCCTCGCCTGCCTTTGAGTCCCTGAGCCTGTGGCCCTCCTCCCTTTGGCTGCCCTGTTTATATAGAGCCATTGCCGCTCTCTAATATAGACTCTGCCAGGATGGGAAGGTGCTTTTCAGGCCTACGTCACCGCCTCTCCATTTAAACACCAGATCCGGCTTTAAATAGTGAGAGCTGCTGAGCGGGGCTGGGAGGTGCGTGCTCCCGAGGCGAGAGGCAGGCGCGTGCGGAGCTCAATTTATTTCTAGGTCCTTTTCTTTGCCGGTGATTTCCCACCGGACGAGGGCCGCTTTCAGAGCCCCATTTTTTTTTTTTATATGCCGCAGTAAGGATTTGTTTCTTTTGTTAGGAAAACATACTCTAATTAATTAGTCATTTTTTAATTTTTTAAATTTAAAGTTTATTTTTAAAAAGAGTGTTTTTCTTGGAAGGTCTGTACACTATTGCAGGGGCTTTAATTTTTTTTTTGGATTGTTAGAACAGATCTTAGTTTTGGTAGCGTTTGGTTTTTAGGCATTCAGGAAAAGTCAGCACTGTTTTCATTGTGTTGTAATGAAAATATGATGCTTCTGGGATTAAAAAAAGGTCCCTAAGGCTTTGGCTTATCCATATAGATTAACGTGTAGGACATTTGGGAGTAATGGGAATGAGGAGATGTGTTGCAAACTGAATTTTTAAAACATTAAAATTCCAAGTAGCTGGCGGTTTTTATTGCATTGGATGTTACCTAGATACGTAACATAAAAATGATCAGAATTTAGGTTCTGACGTTGCAGTCGGGCTAAGGAAACCTCCCAGTTAATCGCCTGACGTGACCACTAATGATCTTCTGATTTATAGATTTTAAGTCTGGAAGTCATCTTTTTAAAAATCAGGAGAAATATAAATTTGTGTTCAGTAAAAAAAAAAAAAAAAAAAAAAAAAACTCTGGCTCAAGTAAAATGTAGATTTTTAAATAATTTAGCCATCACTTGTGTTAAATTCCCACTTGCCTTTAAAGACGTAAGTATTAGAGGGCTTGTCAGACCGTAGGCACATCCTGCCTGTCTGTGTGTGCTTCCTAAGGATCGCACGCTTCCGGCCATGCTGGCCATGCTGCCCTCCGTGGTGCTTAGGATGCTCTAGTGGCCAGATACTGTGTCATTTAAGACATACAAAAATCATTGGAGCATGACTGATTGGCTAAATAAAAAGTACCAGATAGCAAGGTTTTTACGTGTAGGCAGCTGGATCTACAAATGTGACATTTAGGGTAATAAACTTCAGAAATATCTAGTTTCTGAATAAAAATAATTTGTATCAATTTAAAATTGCATTGCCTCTTTATAATGCCTTGAGAAGGCCTTGTTGGTAAAATATGTTTTATGGGTGTGTTTCCATAAGCCAGTAGTTCAGTTGTTAAAAGCAGGGTGCTATCTATAATTGGATATGAGTGCTTATCGATTGATTGGGAATGTTGAACTAGGGAAGCCCTGTAGGGATGCTCATTTTACTGATAGCAGCCGTTCGTACAGACACATTTGGCAAGATGAGAAGGCAGGTCAGTGAGTGGAGCAAGGGACGGCACTGAGTATTCGGATTGTTTTTCTGGTCATCATGAGAAGGAATTGAGTAGTTTTTAATCGTTTAAGAAAGCCGATGTTGACTGACACTCATGAATTTTGGACTAATTTTTTAGAGGTGTTCTCTGTAATAATGATATTAGTGATTAGTGCTGGAGATGTTGATGAATCCATTCTTTTGGAAGTTGTGGAAGCAAGCCCTTTGTTATCAGCTTTTTAAGTTAAGCAGAATGTAAAGCAGATAGACTAGAAAAGCCTTTTTAAAAATTTATCATCTGACAAGCACTCTAACTTTTGTCTAACAGATTTTAAAAAAATGAGTATGATGGGGTAATTATTCTACCATCTTCTGTTGTGGCTTTTTTTTTTTTTTGGATTACTTGACACATTTGAAAGTGCTTTCTCATTTTACTGGCTTTGTTCTTCTGAAAACCTCCAAGAATCCAGTTCCTTCTCTCCATCCCCCCCCCCGCCCCCCCCCCGCCCACACACACAGAGAATACCTACCACAGCAGCAGTTGCTGGTGTTGGTGGTTCTATTGCACGTCATGAGCTGGGCAGTGGCACAGGGAACCTCCAGACCTGTAATTGTCGGTGCACGGGTAGTTTAGTGGCAAAGCTTGGAGGTACGGGCTAGGTCACAGAAATAGCAGCTGGGTGGTTTTAAGCTTGAATGCATATTAGGCTCCAGCGGAACACCAGGGAATGCGGAACACCAGGGAATGCGTAGCATACGTAGGTCCTCCGAAGGCTACAACTCAGTGGCAAGGTTGTGAGCTGCAGCAGGTCTAAAGCCAAGTGTGGGGTGGCAGGAGCTGCCCAGGAGCAGCCAGAAACCTGTTGTGAACATCATGTTAGGGACTTTGCCAGCAGCAGTGAAAATTATAACTAGAAATTGCATGGAACTGAAAAAAGAGCTTGTGTTCAATAATTGAGGTACAGTCTTAAAACTTGTATTAAAATAGGCAGTCGTCCCAGAGCAGATAGTATTTATTAGGATGATCATATCTTTAAAATCTCATACTCAAAAATTTTAGTTTTTTGACAAAGTGACTACTGTATCCTTAATTTGCTTTGAATTTGTCTGAAACACAACAGTCTTTCAGTCATTTTTTGTTTTTCCTTTAAGCCTAAATTATATAGATCTGTGATTGAAGATGTTATTAATGATGTGAGAGACATCTTTCTGGACGATGGAGTAGACGAACAAGTCCTGATGGAACTAAAAACTGTGAGTTTGCTTCTTGTAATTCATGCCCCTAGTCCCCTCCGAGACCTTCTCGTTGGCAGAAATGGATTTGTGTTTTCTCCGTAGCAGAAAGACAGTTGACTCTGTCGGAGGAGACATTAGTAAGGGGTGGTGCTGGTTGGAAACACATCTACCATCCATTAGTTTCTTTCTTTTTTTTTTTTTTTAAAGATTTATTTATTTTATTTGAAAGATTTACAGAGTGAAGGAGAGACAGAAAGATTTTTCATCCAGTGGTTCACTCCCCAATTAGGTGCAACAGTCAGTGCTGAGCCATTCCAAAGCCAAGAGCTTCCTCCAGGTTTCCCACACAGGTACAGGGTCTCAAGGCTTTGGGCCGTCCTCGACTGCTTTCCTAAGCCACAAGCAGGGAACTGGATGGGAAACGGGGCTGCCAGGATACAAACCAGCACCCATATGGGGTCCTGGCATGTGCAAAGTGAGGACTTTAGCTGCTGCACTGGTCCACTGCCATCCATTCTTTTGTTGACTTTAGGCAAACTCTTTACTTCTTATCTTTTATACTTATATTTATTTTCATTTTATATTACCAGCAAAAACAACAAACACAAACAGAAATCTTTGATGTGTTGATTCATTCACTGAACACAACAGCTAGAGCTGCACAAGACTTAGGTCAGCAGCTTTGAAATCAATTTTGGTCTTCCATATGGCTGGCAGGGAGATTGAGACTTGGGCCATCATCTGTTGGTTCCCAGGGTACGTAGTAGGAAGTTGGACAGGGACTCAACAAGGTCCTCCCCAGGTGTTCCAAGTGGTATTTATTTTTTAATTTTATTTTATTTGAAAGGCAGATACACAGAGGGAAGGAAAGACAGAAATTTTCTCCCCAAATGGCAAGAGCTGAGCAGATCTAAAACCAGTTTATTTTGGTGTCTCATGTGAGTTCAGGGGCCCACGAAGTTGAGCTGTCCTCCACTGCTTTCCCAGGCTGTCAGCAGGGAGCAGGAAGGGGAGTGGAGCAACCAGTACATGAACGGATGCCCTATGGGATTCTGGCACTTGAAGGTCAAGGATTATCTGGCTCCCTGCTTATGGCCTTTGAAAGCAGTGGAGGATGGTCCAAAACCTTGGGACCTGCGCTTGTGTAGGAGACCTGGAAGAAGCTTCTCGGTTTGGATTGGCTCAGCTCCAGTTGTTGCAGCTATTTGGGGAGTGAACCAGCAGATGGAAGATCTTTGTCTCTGTATATCTCCCCTTCCAATAAAAGTAAATTATTCTTTTAAAAAATTGCCTCTTGAGCTACGGCAGCAGCCGCCGTGCTGTCTCATCTGGTCATGGACAGTAGATGTAATTTCAGCAATGACAGAATAAGAGTCTTACTGTATGTTAAAACTTACATGACTTCTGAGTGGTTGTTTTGGTCATGTACTATATGCCTGCTTCGCAGAGAAGAACAAGACACAGTTGGGGCTCCAAAAAGTAATGCTTTGTTACCACAGCAAGACACCAATTTTTTTTTTTTTGGAAGATTTTTTTTTGTTACTGGAAAGACAGATTTACAGGCAGGAGAGAGAGATCTTCCATTTGCTGGCTCACTCCCCAAATGGCTGCTATGGCTGGAGCTGAGCTGCTCAGGAGCCAGGAAATACTTCTGGGTCTCTGATATGGGTGCATGGTCCCAAGGCTTTGGGACATCCTCTGCTGCTTTCCCAGCCCACAAGTAGTGTGCTGGGTGGGAAGTGGAGCAGCTAAGACATGAACTGGAGCCCATATGGGATGCTGGCACTTGCAGGAGGATGATTAGCCAATTGAAAGATGCTTGGCCCATGCTGTTTTTATCTGGGATTTGCAGAGTTAGATTCATTATCTGGAAGTCAGTTCATAAGTAATTTGATTCCATTTATCCACTTTATCATGAGAAAAATGTCTGAGAAAAATAAATGTCTTGGTCACAATGACTCATATTTTACACATACCTTATACGTGTAACTTGAGTGTAATTTCATATTTGAAATAATTTTGTGTATCAAAAGGCTTTCAGAGTATAAAATTTTCTTATTTGTAGTGTAATGTTTGCACTTAAAATTTTAAGATTGTGGTCAAGTTTGATTTTCAGATTAGGAAAGTTAAATCTAGAATGGCTGTCCCCAAAAGATGGTTTGTTTTTGGTATACTGGAAAGCAAAATTGCTGTAGTATAGAGGGTTGGGCAAAAAACCCCTCTGAGACTTCCAGGCATTGCTATTTGTTTTTTCTTAAGATTAAATAGAAGGCAAGTTGTACTTTTTAAAAAGCTCGAGAATTGCTTCTGTGTTTCTTATTGTTCTAAGCAAAAAATAAATTTGTATAGTCAGAAAATAGTTCCTTGGGCTAATGTTGTGGTGTGGTGGGTTAAGCTGCAACTTGTGATAGTGGGATCCTATTAAAGGCTCTGGTTGGGTCCCAGCTGCTCCCGTTCCAACTAGCTCCCTGCTGATGTGCCTGGAAAAAGAGAAAAGGATGGCTTAAATGCTTGTGCTTCTGCCACCTGCATGGAGAACCTGGAAGAAACTTCTTCCTGGCTTCAGCCTGCTCTGGGTTGTTGGAGCCATATGGGGAGTGAACCAGGGAATGGGAGGCTGTCTCTGTCGTTCCTTCTCTTTTTCTGTAACACAGCCTTTCAAATAAATAAATCGGTCTTTCAAAAGAAAAAGATCCCAGGAAAGGGAGTGCGTGCGTTGTGGTAGGTACAGTAGCTTAGACCCCTGCCTGCAACATCAGCATTGTGTTGTAGAGCGTGGGTTTGAGTGCTAGATTCTCTATGTCCCTAGCGGTCCCTGCTACTACACATGGCAAGTAGTGAAGTTGTCCCGAGTGCTTGGGCCTCTGCCACCCGTGGAGCTGTGACTGGAGTTCCAGGATCTGACGTGTGTTTGGGTTAGCCCTGGCCATTGCACCCGTCTGGGGAGTGAATCAGTAGATGAAGATTTCTCTGCTTCCTGTGTCTTCACTCTCTGCCTTTCAAATAAATAAATTCTAGAAGAGTTCTATAAAGATAGTTTCATAATTCTGATGTTTCAGAGGATAATCTTTGATTACTAAGTTGCTTTTTTGAAACTCTTTGCTATGTAATAGCTGGAGTTCCTTTGGAAAGTTTGTTGAAGATGTAAAGTTTTGGATGATGTAGCAAAGATGAGGTTTGATACTTTAAAAAAAAATTTTTTCATTATTCTACATTTGTGTGAGATTATCTTTGCTTGTATTTCTTGTGATGTATAAGTTTTCAAGTGAAACAGTTCTATAAGTAGCCAATAAAAATATGTTTGACTTTGTGTTGAAATTTTCTTTTTTACTTTGACTTGTAAACCATTTTAATGTCCTTTGTCTTAGTTATGGGAAAATAAACTAATGCAGTCTAGGGCAGTAGATGGATTTCATTCAGAAGAGCAGCAGCTTTTGTTGCAAGTTCAACAGCAGCATCAACCGCAGCAGCAGCAGCATCACCACCACCACCACCATCAGCAAGCGCAACCCCAGCAGACGGTACCTCAGCAAGCCCAGACCCAGCAGGTCCTTATTCCTACGTCACAGCAAGGTGAGACTGCTGCTGCTTCCCCAGGTGCCTCTTGGAAGGTGCTACTGTTTGAAAGACAAGGAGTCTCTAGGTTGGTTGGTTCTCGTTTTTAAAGTGTGCTTAATGAGCAAACAAACTGAAGAAGACTGCTGACTTTGTTTCTTTCCCTTTCTGAGTGTGTATGTAAATTGTGGATCCTGTTTAGAGTAGTGACAAAGAATTAAAAGCCTTAATAAAATTTGAATAACTGTACTAAAGGGTTTTTTTAGAACTGCATAAAATGGTGGGTTTCCTGAAGTAATACAGATGTATGAATGAAAACCTTTCTGTTTCATTAGTTTATATAGTAAAATATTTATTTACGTATGACACACTTGCCTTCACAGAAATATTTGTATTTAGCCTTTGTAAATATGCCCTAAGATTTTGTGACTCTAATATCGTGGAAATTCAACACTGCAGCGATTTCTTTGAAGGAAATAGTTGCTCTACATATCTTGATGTATACTGCTCTGTTTAAAGGTCTGAGCAAGTAATTATTTATAGACTGTCCATAATTTGCACAATGCAAAACCATTTATTTTTAATTGAACGGCTGGGAGAGAGAGATTTAGGGTTGGGACAGCCTGGGACTCAGTCCAGCTCACTCTTGTGGGTGGCAGGGCCTGAGTTCTTGAGTCCTCACAGCTACCTCCTAGGAAAGACACTGCTTCATTTTAATTCCTCTTAAGCAGTTTGTGAGCTAGCTCTTAGCTGCATTTCATGGTTGCGGCAAATATGGACCTTAAAAAGGCTGGGAAGTCTGATCCATAATGTATATTCTCTCATAAGTACCTGTTCTGGTTAAATGTCCTGAGCAATCTAGCTCGGTAAGATTTGTTACTGTAGAGGAAGGCGGATGAAAAGTTTATTTAAAGGTAACCATTTAGGTAGCGTATCTATGACTTCACATTCACTATGAAGGGCAAGTGTATGGGGCACCAGGCTAATCTGCTGAGCATGCCTGCATACTGTATCAGCATGTCACACTCTGCTTCTGCCCAGGATTCCAGGTAATGCACCTGAAAAGGCAGCAGATGCTTGAATCTTTACCTTCTGCCTGTGAACCTGGGTGGAATGTCAGGCTGCTGGTTTTGGTCTGGCTCAGCCCGGTGTATTGTAGGCACTTGAGTGAATCGGTGGATGGATGGTCTGTCTCTCCTCATACGCTTTCTCTCTTGCTTACACTCTCTTTGTCACTTTCAAATAATTAAAGAAGCAGATCTTTAGTAGAAGGTAGCTGTGGCTGGTTGGTAGGCAGTAAAGCTGCCGGCAGTCCTAGCATCCCACACGGGTGCTGGTTCTAGTCCTGGTTGTTCCACATTGATCCAACTCCCTGACAGTGTTCCTGGAAAGCAGCAGAAAGTGAGCCAAGTGCTTGGGTCCTTGTACCCACATGGGAGACCTGGAAGAAACTTCTGGCTCCTTGCTTCAGACCCACCCGGCTCTGGTCTTTGGCCATTTGAGGAGTGGCACAGTGGAAGAAAGATTGCTCTTTTTCCCTTTTTCTCTCTCTGTAATTCTGACTTTAAAATACATAAATATATCTTTAAAAAAGGTAACAGAAAATAATGACACACAGTGGAAAGGTCTTATTTGGGCTTTATTGTTTGTATAATGTAAAATTGTAACATATAAAGCTAAGATTTAAATCCTTGATTATCAAATAGTTTTAAACTTTCAGTCTTTTCTTTGATGACTGTTCCTCCTAATGACTCAAGCCTGGCATTAGGATTTTAGGTCATCATAAATTAAAATTTGATTTTCTTCACTCAGAGATCATGTGGATAGTGGGATTATCTGTCTGTTCTCTGAAATTTGCGGAATCAAACATTTGATGGCGTTTTTGCTCAAGTAACATTGCTGTTATTTCCAGTTTGTAGTTTTTGAATGAATGAAAGTAATGATTCTAGCACCTGTCAAATAGAAGTATTGTAGATTTTTTAAAAAGAAGTTATTTGTTACTTGAATTAGTGATTCATTACTGTTAATGAATTAATATCTGCTGCAGTGACAGCATTGATACCAGTAAAACAATAATTGCCAAACTTTTAGTTTAAGAATGTGCAGACACTTGGTGTAAGTATTTCACTTCATCTTGTTGAATTCCCTCTCATCTTTAAGAATTGTTACTTAAATATTTCAGTTGTGATGTTTTCTATTTTGAGGCAAATATATTAGAGCCATTAATTGCTGTGATATGTAAAAGATTCTGAATTATCAAATAGCTGAGAACATTTCAATGCTTAACGTTTTCAGCATTAGATAACATTCTTATGATTATGAAATAGCCTTATGGTTCCTTGTTTGTGTGTATGCTTATTTTACTTAATTTTTTTTGTAGCCACAGCACCACAAGTTATTGTTCCCGATTCTAAGCTGATACAACATATGAATGCCTCAAACATGGTAAGACCCAACAGATAGCTTTTAGAGTACACACATACATATGTTGTATAATAACAACTTGGAAGTTTATTGAAGACTTGAGCAAGACAGATTGCTTAGTTTTCTGTATATTGGATTTAGCAGCAAATTTAAAGTTTAACTTTCTACTTCAGTGTTAACAATAAAATTATGTGATGTCCTGCTTAAAAAAATTACCTGAAGGTGATTTGTGGGAGATTTTTGATCCCTGTTTTGGAAAACAGGACTTCCCAAACTTAAATCTATTAATTGGAGAAATCAGAAGTACTAAGAATTGTAACCTTTATTATTTCTAATATTTTATTTTTTTCATATTAATGTTCTATTAATACAAAAAATAGATTCCATGTAGTTCATATATACAGTTTTTTGTGTGTGGGAAATAGAATTAAAAGTAAGTTTGTCACAAAATTCATGCATGTTAGGGAACCATATTCAAAAATTCATGGAGAAAGTGAAAAAGCTAAATGTGGCTATCAAAAATTTTGGAGGACAAAATAATGTTTTAAACTATTTTTCATGAATTGTTTGAAGCCCTTCTTATTTCCCCATAGTTTTTTTTGAGAATTAGGTGACTGAATGGACTTTGTAATTGCCTGGTAGATTCTTCTGTAAATCAGCTTATTTAAAAGGTGAGGAAATTAGGGATAGAATGGCCAGGGAGGGGAAAGGTGGCGAAGCATCCTTTCAGCCAGTGTCGGGGTGAGGCCGTGGCTCCCTGTGGGTCTGCTCTCAGGAGCCTGGACCTGGGAGTGCTTACACAATGCCTGCTCCAGACCCCAGGTGAGAGGGAAGTGATCCTTTGACTCATGGGTAGGCAGATTGTATGACTTAGGGTGCAGGAAGTATAGCTTCCAGTTCATGACTCTAAGCTTGCTGCCTAGCTGTCCCATTTCATTGCTCCCTAGTCTTGCGGGTTGCTGAAAGATCTAGATTAATCTCATGCAAAGTCCATGGACTTTGCCTGCGTTCTGAGATTTGTCTCATCTGGTGAATGCCTTTTACAAGCCATACTAAGTCTAACTGTGCCAGTGACTCTTTGTTGTTTGTCTCTTCAGGTGCCATAATATAGTTCTTAGGTTATTATATTCCCTCCCCCAGTTTATTCGTTCCTCCGGGTTTTTCTTTTTGAGATAATATTTTAAATTAACATTACAATCAAGATCAGCAGTTAGAAAGTAAAAAGATTATGATGGATCAACAATGATGGATGTGTAGACTATAAGTGATTAGGAGACCATTTTCACCCGTACCCAGTAAATTCTAAAATAATCACAGATCCTTAAAACTATAGTAGTGGTATTTATTTATTTAGTTATTTTTAAAGATGTATTTGTTTTACTTGAGAGTCAGAGTTGGCAGAGATCTTCAGCTGCTGGTTCACTCCCCCTACATATTCACAGTGGACTGAGCTGGGTTGATCCAAACCTGGGAACCAGAAGCTTCTTTCAGGTCTCCCATGTGTTGCACAGCCCAAGGCATTGGGCTCTCTGCTGCTTTCTCAGTCCTTAAGCAGGGAGCTGAATTTGCAGTGCAGCAGTTGGCACTCAAACAGGCTGAGGACTAGCCTGCCACACCACTGCGCTGGCCCCAGTAGTAGAACATTCTTAACCATTGGTTTTGCAAAGGTATAAAATGAAGTTTGACAGAAATGTTTTTACAGGAGTTCTGATTTACACAGGCATTTCTCTATTTGGTTTTTGGATTTTTAAATTTTTTTAAATTTTAGCCTTCATGGATAAGGGAGAACATGTGATATTTATTTTTTTGTGTGTCATTTCAAGAAATTGTGAAGTTTTTATAATGAAAATGTACTATTTGGATTGTTCATGAGCGCATTTTTGAATTAAGCTAAAATGCCTGCTTAGATTTAATCATAATGTGTCATATTTTTTAAATGTGTGAATTGCTATCTTGATATGTATTTTAGCCAAATGATTTGCATTAGGATTTTCATATTATAAAGGGATATGCATTCAATTTATTTTAAGAAGTCATTAAACTTTCAAATTATACTTAGGTATATAATATTTCTCAAAATAGTGTTGTGTAAGTCCAAAATTGAAGGAGTTCTCATATCTCTGGAAATTATTTGCCTGTTTCCTTAACATATTAAAGGACAGTTTAGTTGGAGTAGTTGTTTGGTACATTCTGACAAATGGCATTTGACTATTCTGTTTGAAATATATAAAGTGTTAAGGTAATATTTTGGCTTTGTGAGTAATGAGCCATCAAGCTCCTTTGGATTTATAAATCAGGATAGGGCAACTCGCTTCCTCCTATACATTACCAGCCTTGCATATCACACATAGGCAACATTGAAAATTTCTGCTTGGTATTGAATAAATTTTTTTGTGAGAGAGAACAAGTTTACCTACTTATTTTTCAATGGCAAATCCTTGAAGCATATGGCATAATGTGGATTTTGTGTTCAGTGGGTTAGCAGCAAGGTTGTTTCACAATTCATAAACTATACCATTGTTAGAATGAGCGTGAGTTACTTTTTCCAAGATTAATGTGGTTTTGTTAGATTTATCGCTAGGGGTCACTGTAGTGTTCTTTAATTTATTCATATAAGCATATGTCTTGCCTAAATAGAATCAGTTTCATCTCAGGTATAAACACCTTTACTTTGAAAAAGATCAGTATTTGGTCCTGGAGACCTTATTTATAACCAGCAAAAGTGACCTTTATCAGAGACTTCCAGATACAATTTCCCTTTTAAAAAAGGCAAGTATTTATGTATTAATTTGAAAGGCAGTGTAAAAGAGAGAGACCAAGACAAAGATCTTCCATCTGCTGGTTTATTCCCTAGTGGCCAGGACTGTACCAGGGTGAGGCTACGTCTCACGTAGGTAGCAGGGGCCCAAATACTCCTGCATCTTTCATGCCTTCCCAGGCACATGAGCAGGGAGCTGAATCAAAAGTGGAGCACCCAGGACTAGAACTGGGGTCCTGTGGGGTGCAGGTGGCCCAGGCTCTGGCCCAGCAAGCTGCACTACAGGCTGGCCACTGTATTTGCCTTGTGAAGTCTTGTTGTAGTAAGTCTCCACAGCAACAAGTAAACAAGTAAGTCTTTACAAATTGATCGTCATCTATTTGGAAGGCATAGCAACAGATAGAGATCTTCCATCTGATTCCTCAGATGCACATAGAGACCAAATTGGGGCCATCCTGTGTCCAGAAGCCCAGGCCTTCCTGAGGGTTGCCCACATTATATTGATTTGGGGACCCAAGCACTTGAGCCATCACCCCCTACCACCCCCGAAACTCAGGCTGTGTTAGTGCAGTACTGAATTTGAAGCAATGAATTGATGTTCTTGTGTAGGATTAGTATGTATTTTTGTTAATATTTTGATGTATTTTTACTGAAACAAAATCAGGGTTTTTTTGGCGGGGTCTTTTAAAAATTTATTTATATAGAGGAGCAGATTTTATGTATTTAATCTGTAGTTTTAAAAACACGATACTTCCGCCCTTCTTCCTTTTCTGTTAATTTTTGCAGTGACACAATTTCAATTTATAATCACAACTGCTCTAAAAAGTGAAAGTGGTTGTGTTTTTGTTGGTTTGGATTGCTCTCAATTCAAATACTCAATAAAAATGATTTCAGTTTTTGTGATAGCACTGTGTGCTATAGAAATGAACATATTTAAAACATAGATAATCTCCTGAAAATGTGATGTTGTATCAAGTAAGACAGGGGATATTTCAAGGAACTTAAATCATCAAAATGATCTTCCTAATTCTCTTTTTGATACCATATAATGTATTCACGTTTGGGCTGTTTGATGAAATACAAAACCTTTTAGTGGTAATTAAATGAAAGGTGGTATTTGTATGGTGTATCACTCCACAAATAATTATTCAACAACTTGAATCTGTACAGGTGGTTATTTTACTATGTATATGCTAGTTGAAGTTGCTGTTTCAGTCTGCCAGGAGAGGGAGAACTGTTATCTTGCAAAATACGAAGTAGTCCTTTGATATTCCTAAATAGTTGTACTTTCAATAATAGGTGTTTAATATGGTCATTAAAGTTGGATTACCTTTATATTGGCTATGTAAACAGATTTATTTTAAATTGAGCAGTTTGGTGTCAAATTAAAGATTAATGAACCTATTAAGCTATACCAGGATTTTTGCAACAGTAGGAATTTTAAACTCAGGGTGTAGTGGTTATTTAGATCTGCCATGTGATTGAAAACAAGGAATTGGGAGTAGGGAAAGGAAGCAGTGTGGAATGGTTATTTCATATATTGCACAATATTTTTGTTAATGCATAATAATCGTGTATAGGTTACATTGAGTGTATGAAGGCTTAAGGAATGTTGAAGAGAAAAAGAATGCCTTAGCGATGCCTGAAGAGTACATTTTCTGTGGGGGAGGGAGAGTTTTGTCCCGTATGTGGATTCAGAATATGCTCCAAGAGAAGCTGAAATGCTCTTTGAATACATGTTTGGTTTTTATGGTTTTCCTTTGTTTAGAGCGCTGCTGCTACCGCTGCTACGTTAGCACTCCCGGCAGGTGTGACTCCTGTTCAACAGATATTAACAAATTCAGGTAATAAAAAATGAAACCAGTTCTTAAAAATGTATTTTAGTATTTTTATTTGGGAGAGAGGAGGAGGTAGAGGTCTTTAATCTGCTGGCTTACTTCACAGATGGCCGCAGTGGCTGGCATGGGGCTAGGTTGAAGCCAGGAGTTTGTTCCAGATCTCCTGCTTGTCTCAGGCCCTGAGGAGGGAGCTGCATGGAAGTAGAGCAGCCAGGACTCAAGCCAGCACCTGAGTAGCATGGCAGCAGCACAGCTCCGAAAATCACACCTGGTTTTGTCTTATTGAAAGATCAAAAATACTGTCATTTCCTTTACCATTTGATTTAGTTTATTAAAGTCGCTGAGGGCTATGGAACATTGAACTGTAATCATTATTGAAGACTTGGAACTTTCCTTCTATAAATAAGAACCCTGTTATTGAATGAAATATGATTATATAAAAATTTTTGCTTAATTTTTTACCAAAGAAATTTAACCTTCCAAGTAATTAAGCTTGACTCATTTGAACTTGATTGTGATATCATAGTCAGCCCTATATTGCTTTGAACAAATTTATTACAATTTGTTACATCTCATGTACATGTGTTACATATAACATCTCTGCATTTATCAATATCTAGTTAATTTTTGATACTAGTTTGAAACTTTTCTTTACATGAGTTTTTTACTTTAAAATTTTAAAATATTATTTAGTTTATAACAGGTTTGATGTGATTGTTAAATACAATTTTAAGAACATAATGATCCTCCCACCCCTTTTATTTATATGAATTTTAAGTCTTCTGGCTGTAATCTTGATTATATAGTCTTCTGTTATTTTAATTCTGTATTTATGAAGAACAAGTTAAAGACTTGTCTAAGTATATATTAGTAAGATAGAAATTGTTTGATTTCTTTATTTTTATAGAAAGGACAGAGTTACAGAGAAAGGGAGTAGGGTAGATCTTTCAGCTTCTGATTCATTCCTCAAATGGCCGCAATGGCAGCAGCTCATTTAATCCAAAGCCAGAGCTAGGAGCTTCATCTGGATCTCCCTCATGGGTGCAGGGTTGCAATGCTTTGGGCCATTCTGCCATGGTTTCCCAGGCAACCAGCAGGGAACTGAATTGGAAGTGGAGCATCCAAGAGTTGAACTAGCACCCGTATGGGGTGCAACAGAAGGAAGCTTAGCCTTATGTGTCAGCGTAACAGTCCCCAGTTGTTCACTTTTTAATTGATTCTGTGTCATTTAAAGTGACAAATAGGAGGGAGGATGTATAAGCTAGTCCCACAGTTGCATTGTTGATATTTGATTCAACAAATTTTTGAGCAATTCTGAAGTACTGTGTAGCTGTGATTCCAAATACCAAATAAACCACTATACTTAGGTTTTTTTTTTTTTTAAGGAAATTTTATTTATTTACTTTGAAAGGCAGAGGTACAGAGAGGGGAGAGAGAGAAATCCTTTGTTGTCTTATAATCTGTTGATAGTTTTAATTAAAAACAGCTGCAAATGAGCATGTTAATTTGGAAAATAAAGCCTTTTAACTAAAGTATTTGAGTATGGAGGGAAATTGGGAGCAATACAGTGTGTACAGTGTGATAGCCCTTAATAAAACTATGAGACTTGCTGCTTGATCATTCTAAGCCCTTGAGGCATTTGACATGCAGTGTGAATTTATTTTCGGATGGTCACTGCGAATGTGGCAACTTGAATGTATGTTTGTTACTTTAGGCCAGCTTCTTCAGGTGGTCAGAGCAGCCAACGGTGCCCAGTACATCTTTCAGCCTCAGCAGTCAGTGGTTCTACAACAACAGGTTATACCACAAATGCAACCTGGAGGAGTACAAGCGCCAGTTATACAACAGGTAAAAATGTCACTTGGTGGTCGCCATAGTTCTTTTTTTTTTCCCCCATACTTCTGTCTTTGTTCTGTGTCAGTTTCCTAGGTGGTTACCCCTTTTGCCATGAATTTATATGTGCAAATGCTTAATACTCTTTCCCAGTACTGTGTACGTTTTTGTTCCAAATTCCTTCTGTACAAGTCATTGTTCAACTTACATTGAATTTGTTTAAAATAGGATAATTGTTACTATTACGCATCTCTTAGCATCCCCTCACCTCCTGATGTGCGTTTTCCTCAGTGGGAGCACTCAGCATCTGGTATCCTAAGAGTGATTCAGGCTTGAACTAGCATCTACTGTCAGGATCATCATAAATAGCCAGTAATTTGTGAGTCTGCAAAGTGCACATGATACATCTTTGATGATGCTTTGGTATTTGGGGGAATGGAGTGTGTGTGTTCCTCTCCTGCTTGCCTCCAGTAGCTAAGGTGTTATTTAGTCCTTCAATCCTACCAATTTTTTTTAAGATTTATTTTTATTTAAAAGGCAGAGCTAGAGAGAAGGAAGGAGAGGTAAGGAAAGAAAAGATAGAAGAAAGTTTTCCAGCCGTTTGGTTGCTTCCAAATGGCTGCAATGGCTGGAGCTGAGCCCATCTGAAGCCAGGAGCCAGGAACTACTTTTTCCAGGTCTTCCACGTGGCTGTAGCAGTCCAAGGTCTTGAACCATTTTCCACTGATTTTCCAGACTTAGTTGCAGAGAGCTGAATCTGAAGTGGAGCAACCATGACATGAACTGGAGCCCATGTCAGATGCTGGTGCCACAGGCAGAGGCCTAGCCAACTATGCTATGATGCTAGTCTACCAGTTATTCTTACTAGTTCTTTTTTCTTTTCTTTTCTTTTTTTTTTTTAAACTGGGATTTTGCCATATGCGTAGTACCTTAGTGTTTGAAACTAGTTTTTTCTCTACTGTTATCATTTCATTAATTCATACAATCATAATTTGTCACTACAGTACTGTCAGTGTCTTCTGGTTTTGTGCTCACCCCTAGCCAGACTGACTCATAGTCTCTTTCTTTAACTCTTGTAGTGACTTCCCATTGCCTGTTGGAAGATTTTTCTTTTCTATAGACAGAGCACGTGCTGTCAATGCCGGGTTCCTCCTCAGATACCTGCAGCATTCAGGGATTGGCCAGGGCTGGGAGTCGAGTAGACACCTCCCACAAGGATGACAGAAACCTGCTTAAGACATTACTGTCTCCCGTGGTTTAGAGTCAGGACATCGAACCCAAGCACTCCAGTATGGGTTACAAGCACTTTAGCCTCTCAACTGCCAAACCTACCACACTCTGTGCCCTGGAAAACACAATTTATAAGATCTTTTTTGGGATCCTTTTTCTGTGAACTTGCAGAGTGTTTTTGTATTTAGGAATATTTGTTTGGAGTACAAACTGAACCTCCCTAAGCCAAAAATCAGAAAACTGAAATGCACCAAAATCTGAAACTTGTGGAGCATTGCTGGTCACCCAGTACTGCTTTACGTCTTCTCTCCGTGAGTCGTTCCTGTTTTGTCTGTCACACCATATGGCTGCCCTAATTGGTCTTACATAAAAATAGACTCAGGTCTCCAGATTCTCTGTCCTGTGTTCTTGTGCAGACAGTATAGCTTAACAGCACAGACATGGCCTTTGTACCAGAAAGTTCAGGTTCAGATGTTACTGTTTAGTGATTGCAAGGTTTATACATTACTACTTTTCAGTCCGTCTCAAGTAAGTATAACTCTGAACCTAGGAAGTACTCAGTAAATATAGCAGTTATCTTTAGAAAATCCTTTTCCTGCAGCAATGTGATAAATTGGAAAGTTTAGTGAGTCACTGTATTGGTTTGACATTGCTTTTGTGCTTCAGTTTTCTGGTGGTTCTTGGACGTTTGACGCTAGTTCTTTGTGCAGAACTTAATCATCCGAGTAGTCGCCAACATGGCTTTGTTTTGCCATAGGTGCTGGCCCCTCTTCCTGGAGGGATTTCACCACAGACGGGTGTCATCATCCAGCCTCAGCAAATCCTGTTTACAGGAAATAAAACTCAAGTTATACCTACAACAGTGGCAGCACCTACATCAGCACAAGCACAGATAACTCCTGCTGGCCAGCAGCAGCCGCAGGCCCAGCCTGCCCAGCAGCAAGCTCCCTTGGTGTTGCAAGTCGACGGAACAGGGGACACCTCATCTGAAGAAGATGAAGATGAAGAAGAAGATTATGATGACGATGAAGAGGAAGACAAAGAGAAGGATGGAGCTGAGGATGGACAAGTGGAAGAAGTAAGTTTCTAGTGCAAATCAGAAAGGCGAATCTGCACAATTCTTATTTTCCTTGGTGTCAGACTGATGAATTCTTACACTGTACTGTTAGAGCCTTAGGATCTGTGCAACATGTACATCATAAGATTTTAAAGGAAACTAAGATGTCAGCTATATTCGTATTTCATGAATGTCACTGGTAATAAAACACAAAGGTATTCCAGGTTAGGTCATGCTAATATAGTGAAGATGACAAAAATAATTCTAATTGTTTGGCTTACACATTCATCTCATGGCTTTATATTTAAAGACACTGGTGGGAAAATACATGCGATTAATCTTTAGCTTCAGTAGTTCAGTCATGACAGCATTCATAGGAAACCAAGAAAATCAAAACGACAGATTTAAATAGAACTTTGCTTTTGATCCACATTCTATCCCAGTTTATTTGTTAATTGTTATATTTATTTATTCATTTATTTATTTATTTGAAAGTGCATTGGAATAAGAGAAGAAGGGCCCAGTGTGGTAGCCTACTGGCTAAGGTCCTTGCTTTGCACATGCTGCATCCCATGTGGGCGTCAGTTCTAATTCTGGCAGCTCTGGTTGTGGTTTGGGAAAGCAGTGCAGGATGGCCCAAAGCCTTGGAACCTTGCACCCGCATGGGAGATTCAGAAGAGGCTCCTGACTCCTGACTTTGGATGACTCCTTCCGTTGTGGCCGCTTAGGGAATGAATCAGTGGATGGAAGATCTTCCTCTCTGTCTCTCCCCCTCTCTGTATATGTGACTCTCCAATAAAAATAAATAAATATTAAAAATAAAAAAGAACAAGAGAGGAAAAGACAGGTCTTACAGCTGCTAGCTTCCTTTGCAAATGGCCCAAACAACCTGAGCTTGACCATACCAAAGTGAGAAACTAGGGACTCCATCTTGGTACCCCACAAGGCGGGGAGGGGCCAGCTTGGGCGGTGATCTGTTGCCTTCCCAGGCTCATTCATGGGAGTCTCAGAAACGGAGAAGCCAGGACTTGAACTGGTGCTGGGATACAGTTAGCTGTGCCAGAGAGAGGGGCTTTGTCCAGATGCATTACAATTCTTCTTCGCAGTTTCTCAATAATCTTACCCATTCTTCAGATCTGTCTCCTGTCTTCTGCTGGAGGTGTATAATATGTGTTTGTTTTCCTTGCTGTTTCAGCTTAGTTTATAAAGTCAGAGATAATATTTGTCCCACCAAAATTTTCCATATTAATTGCCTTCTTCAGCTTTAGGTACAATCTTATTTATCTTACTCATTTAAATTCATTAGTAAAAAATTTATTAATAAACACAAATGAATGAAAATATTTTAAGGTCTAAATATACGGTGCCCAAGATCTACTTAAAAAATAAATACTGTTACTTGGTGCCTCGCCCTTTGGTATCATCTTTGTTCTGCCATCAGAAAATTCATTTGTGGTCATGAATTATATGTTTATCATTAACTTGTCTTTGTGTTTTACCAGGGACTTAAATCCCTGAATAGCATGTTGTCTAGTTCTGACTGTCCATTTGTAGCAAATGAAATCATTCTGTATGTATGGTTCTACAAATTGTTTTTAAGCTATGGTCTTGAGATCTTATCCAAGATGTTACATAGAGCTGTAAGTATATTCACTGTTAAATGCATTTATTTCTCCATTTTTCTGACTTAGTTGCATTGGAATTGGGAGTTAACATTAGAGCTTTTGTGGTTGTTACTTGTTACAAGTTATAAAATACTTCTGGGTGTGTATTCTGAGAATACATGGACAGCAGCGTCTATGATGTCATCCCTAGGCATTGAGTTGAGTTTTGCAGCTCAGTGCCAAGTTGTGGTACCGCTGAATTTCTGCCATTCAGGGCGCGTTTGTGTTGATGTTGAACATTCTCACTAATGTCTGATATTGTCAAGCTCCTTAATTTCTATCAGTCGTCTACAGTATATACCCACATTGATACATAGTTTATCAGGTATAGTATATGCATATATACTGGTGTGGGTTTTGGTGCTTTTCCTTGATCTTTGATGAGTTTCTGTATATCTGACTTTCCAGCCAGCACGTGTGGTCGCTTTTAGTTTACTGTTTGTCAAGTAGGTAAACTTGCTCAGTTTATTCCCTAGAGGTTTACTGCTTCTCTCACATAGTTGCGTTTTCTAGTTACTCGGTTTTTGCTAACAGTATCAAAATGTGTAGAACTTTTAATACTCATCTTTGATCCGCTGCCTTCCTAAAGTCATACTGCTTTTAGTACTCTATCTGTAGATTTTTTTTTTTTTTTTTTGGTTTACTGTTTAGAGAGATCGCATTGTATATGGAAGATAACTTTTTCTTGCTTTATTGGCTAAGTCCTCCAGAACAGTGTTGGGAAAATGGCAATAACAGAAGCTTTTATCTTGTTCTTTAGGTTAAAAATAATCTTTCATGTCATTCACTATTAAAATCCTGGATTGAAGGATTTTAATGAATATCCTTTATCTGAATATGAATGTTCCCTTTTTTTCAGAATTAACAAAAAGCTTTGCTTTTGCTTTTTAAGCTAAAAGTAAATGTTGAATTTCATTAAATATTTCTGTAACTGTTAAATAACGAGAGGTTCTCACCCTTATTCTGTTGTTAGAGTGAGTTTCGTTGACTGATTTTCTATTTGTAAACCAATTTTGTATTGCTGGAATAGTATGACTTACCTGATCATTATGTATGTTTTTGAGAATTGTTCATTTTTCTTCAGGACATTTGCATGTATATTCATGAATGATTCTGTTATTAACATTCTTTCTACAAGTTTTCAAGTTTATTAAATCTTTATAAAATAAGCTTTTTGTAACTTTTCCTCTTGATTTTTTTCAAAAGTGATTGTACTTTTTTCTGTATTTGTTAAAACACTGTTAAAATATCTGGCAAGTCGTTTCTCATTCATATATTTTATTTCTTTTGGAAGCAGTTTTGGTAAACTATGATTTTTTTTTCTAGGATTCTGTGTATGTAGGTATGTGAAAGAGTTGATGAAACTGAAATTATAAAAGATAAGAAACTTGAAATTTATGGGGTTTTTTCCCATGAACTTTTTGAAAACTTACACATTCATGAGTGTTTTTGTTTTTTTAAGATTTATTTTTTCTGTTTATTTTAAAGTCAGATATACGGAGAGGAGGAGAGGCAGAGAGGAAGATCTTCTGTCCGATGATTCACTCCCCAAGTGGCTTCAACGGCCGAAGCTGTGCTGATCTGAAGCCATGAGCTTGGAACTTCTTCCAGGTCTCCCATGCAGGTGCAGGGTACCAAGGTCTTGGAAGCAAGGCCACCAAGATTAGAACCAGCACCCATATGGGATCCTGGCACATGCAAGGATCTAACATAATCATGTAACCATTCTGGTACCAGAATCATTTGCAGTCTAGTCTGTTGTTTTAATTCCTGCTATTATTATGCCTTAGTTTTTTTCTGTCTTGCCAGAGGTGTTTTGATTATATTAGAACTCATTTCAGAGAATCATCTTTTAACTTTGTTTTTTCTGTCTACTGTGTTTTTCTGTTCTGTTTTGCATTTCAAAAATACCTACATGATGAGATTTGCTTGATGTCATCAGGTTTTATTTTTTTAAGCAGATGATTTACTGCAGTTTTTGGGCGTACTATCTTCTCTTATGTCTGTTAGATTATCAGTAGGTTTGTTCAGATATTCTACATCGTTACAATACATTTTTGTGGTTAAACAACCAGTGAGATAGAGAGATAGTGGACTTCCTGATTTTGTTTTAAGCCTAAAATCGGGCACATATAAGATTACATTTGTATTTTCTTGGTGAGCTAAGTCACTTATGATTGAACACACGAGTGTCATGCCTTAATGACATGCATTTTTGTGTATGTATGTGTAACATATCTATTTTTAACCATGAAGTCATTTTTCATTATCCTAATAGAGCAGTACTGGCATTACTTAGTTGTATCAACACTGCTTAGTAGGGAAAGAATTGTCTTTCTACCAAAATTTGCTTGAACAACAGATTATCTATATAAAAAAGTGTGGAATCTGACCCCAACTCCACCTCATATAAAAATTAAACAAATGAATCAGAGACCTAAATCTAAGAGCTAAAGTTAAAAAGCTCTCATATGAAACCATTGCAGCAAATCTACATAACCTTGGATTTGACAGTGGTTCTTTAAATGTGATGCAAAAGTACAAGTAAGTCGTGGAAAAATGTGTACATTGCAGGCAATATCTAGAACATAAGACAGTCCACCAGATAACAGGTCATTTGTAAGGATCCACTATTCAGAATGCTTGAAAAAATTCTTACAGTTCAAAAACAAAACAATGAAAAGATGAGTGAAATACTTTAATATATTTTTCTCCAAAGATGACATACAAATAAGTGAAAAACTGCGCAGCAGTATTAGAAAAAGGTGAGTTGAAACCACAGTGCAGTACCTCATGCCCACTAGGACAGGCGGAGTCAGAACGTGACTGTGCACAGGAGTGCAGACTGATCAGAACCCTGTGCGGTGATTAGAATGTAAAAACATGTCATTTCTATGGTGGTTTGGTTTATCAACATTTGACTGAACAATACACAGGAAAGCAGGAATCGGGTATTCACACAAAAATATTTGGATGTTCGTAACAGCAGTATTCATGATAACCTACAAAGTAACTCAAATGTTCACCTGAGAATTAGACAAACGTTGTATACTTACAGCAGAGTAATGTTTAAGCATGAGTAGGAATAAGTGTGTTTCTAGAGGGCCGTGTGCTTTAACGTGCCCACTTTGAGAACACACCAAGTGAGGGGGCTAGTGGTAAGTGCTGGCTGTTAGGATCTGTTTACATGAAACAGGCAGACAAGGCCGTTTCATGGGAATGCTGCACACAGTGGAGCAGGAGGACAGGATGGGGAGGTGGAGGTGACTGCTCCCTGGATAAGGATGGTTAGGTATGATTGTGAACGTTTTTCCTATCACCGAAATTTTTACATTAAAGAATCTTGCTATGAATTTAACATTTTTTAAAAATGTTATACTGGTGATAGTCTGCTTTAAGTCAGAGAGTACATGTGTAAATAGTATAGGCAGATTTTTTTTTTTAAGATTTTATTTTTATTGGAAAGTCGGATATACAGAAAGGAGGACAGAAGAGAGGACGATCTTCTGTCCGCTGATTCACTCCCCAAGTGACTGCAATGGCTGGAGCTGCACCAGTCTGAAACCAGGAGCCAGGAGCCTCTTCTGGGTCTTCCACGCAGGTGCAGGGTAGGTACCAAGGATTTGGGCTGTTCTTGACTGCTTTCCCAGGCCACAAGCAGGGAGCTGGATGGGAAACGGGCTGTCAGGATTAGAACCAGCGCCCGTATGGGATCCTGGCGTGTGTTAGGCGAGAACTTTAGCCACTAGGCCACTGCACTAGGCCCTAGACATAGATTTAATAAAATTTTTTCCTGCATTAATTTTGTCCCATTTTTAGCAGAAATGCGATGTATATCTTTTATCTTCCATCACAACTGAGGTGAATTTTAAGGTAATTGGTCGTTTTGTACTGTGAACATTTATTTTTCTCTTTGGTACTGAGATTTTCAGCTCCGTTTTTTTTCCTTTCCTTTTTTTCTTTTTCAAGCCTAAATCTTAGTTATTTTTTATACTTCCCTCCACAATAAGCGTCATAATGTGTCGGCCTGGATCCACAGTCCTAGTCCTTTACGTATAGACACAGGCCAGACCAGTAGACTTGTACTGCCCTTTTTTCTCCTCCAGTTTGACCAGTTTTCTCTTTCCTACTGTTTCTGGTACATAGTGCCATGTGTGTTAGTGTGAGCGTGTGCACGCCTGCACACATGCTCATACATGCCATGCACATAATATTGTTCAGAAGTTTCCCTGGGGCCCACCGTGGTGCCCTAGCGGCTAAAGTCCTTGCCTTGAACGCGCCAGGATCCCATACGTGCACTGGTTCTAATCCTGGCAAATCCACTTCCCACCCAACTCCCTGCTTGTGGCCTGGGAAAAAAAGGAGGACGGCCCAAAGCCTTGGGACCCTGCCACCCACATGGGAGACCTGGAGGAAGTTCCAAGCTCCTGGCTTTGGATTGGCTCAGCTCTGGCCATTGCGGTCACTTGGGGAGTCAATCATCGGATGGAAGATCTTCCTCTCTCTCTGTCCTCCTCCCTGTATAACTGACTTTGAAATAAAAATAAGTCTTAAAAATTTTTTTCTTACCAAGGTTACTGAAGAATCTGCAAGAAACTTAACAGCAGTTAAGTATGCAATTTGTAAGTCAAAAAATGATACTCTACTTTTCCCTCTTTTTTAGAATACCATAAAAAATGACTCGTGATAGCTTTCTAAGATACCTAGAGAAAGTAAGCATATAGATTGTGATATTTGTTATTTGGGTCTCAAAAAAAGTCAGGGTGATTGTACTGCTCTTCAGTGACAACGTGAGCCATCTTTTATCCTGTATAAACACATGGACTCTTTCACTTGCAGGAGCCACTCAACAGCGAAGACGATGTGAGCGATGAAGAAGGACAGGAACTCTTTGACACAGAAAATGTCGTTGTATGCCAGTACGATAAGGTAAGGTTGCGTTCGCAGTTCAAGAGATTGATTTACTTACTTGAAAGGCAGAATTATAGAAAGGGAAAGATGATCAGAGAGATGATTCCCTGTGCTGGTTCCCTCGGCAAATGGCTGCAACAGCTATGGCGGGGACTGTAATCTGGGTTCCCCGCTTGGATGCAGGGGCCCAAGCTCTTGGGCCATCTCCCATGGCTTTTTCCAGACTTATTTGCAGGGAGCTGGATCAAAAGTGGAGCAGCCAGAACTTGAACTGGTGCCCATGTAGGATGTAGACACTGCAGGTAGCAGATTAATCCACATTGACCCCTATTTAGACTCCCAATTTGTAGACAAAATAAGCAAAGCTGCTTTGGTGGGGAGGGGGGAATCTTTCTTTATTAAACATTTATTTATCTCTAGTTGACCCCGGTAGCCAGGACTGGGTCAGGCTCAAGTGCTGCAGCCGTCTGCTCCTTTCCCAGATGCAGGAGGATCAGAAGTGGAGTAGCTAGGACTTGAACTGATGCCCGTATAGGATGATGGTGTCAACACAAGAGTTGCCACAATGCAGTTCTCAAATACTTAAAAAAAAAAAAAAAAGAATAGGGCAATAAATAATATGAAAATAAACAGTAAAGTATTTACTAAAAATTAGTCAAAATTAAGTTTGCTATACTTTGGTAGCATTAGGACTTTTGGAACCAGGTTGTGTGAGAATTGGCTGTTGACTCTCTATGTTCTCAATTATTTTGTTTATTTATATGAGAGAGAGAGAAAGCTCTTCCATCCCCCAAATTCTGACAACAACCAGGCCAGGGCTGCTAAGCATGGAGTCCAGGTCTTCAGTGTGGGCAGTAGGGACCAAATCTATTACAGAGATCAAATGAAAGGTGCTATTCAGATTTTTTTTTTTTTTTTTTTTTTTTTTTTTTGGTCCATTGGAAAGGTAGATATACAGAGAGACGGAGCTATAGAAAGATCTTCCATCCTCTGGTTCACTCCCTAAGCGGCCACAGCGGCTGGAGCTGAGCTGATCTGAAGCCAGGAACCAGGAGCTTCTTTTGGGTCTCCCACGCAAATGCAGGGTCCTGAGGCTTTGGGCCTCGACTGTTGTCCCAGATCACACACAAGCAGGAAGCTGGATGGGAAGTGGAACAGCTGGGACACAAACTGGCACCCCTATGGACCCCAGGGGATGCAAGACAAGGATTTAGCCACTAAGCTATTGCACCAGGCCCTGTTAACTTAGATTTTAAAAGGATTACTTTGCCTTCTTTATTAAGAAAAATATAGGGAGGAAGTGAGCTTTAAAGCAAGGGAATTATTTAGACAGGAATGTTGTAATGATCCAAATAAGTGACACCATGTCTCCCGTTGTTGTAAGAGTTGATGAATGAGTCCGTATGCTTTCCTGACTTTCTCAGATACGATCTAGAAAAGAAGTGAGGGTGCTTGTGTTCCATTTGTGGCTCTGCTGCCAATTCCAGCATCCTGCTGATGCTCACCCTTAGTGCAAGCGGGCAGTGTCTCAAGTAGTTGGATCCCAGTCACACGTGGGAGAGAGCCTGGCTAAGTTTCAGGATCCTGGCTTTGCCTGTCCCAGCTTCTGTTGTGAGCATTGAGGAAATGAACCAGTGTATGTGAGTGGAAGAGATCTGTCTCTCGCTTGGTCTCTCCCTCTGTCTCTGCCTTTTAAATAAATGAAAATAAATATAACTGATATTTAATGTTTCCTTTGAAAAGAATCGAGAGGGCAGCAGTGCTTTGGCACAGTGAGTTAAGTGGACACTGAGAGCTGGTTTCAGTTAAGTACCTGCTGTTGCACTTTGCTCCACCTGCTTGCTAATGTGGCTGGGAAAGCAAGGGAAGATGACCCAGGCCTGGGCCTCTGCCACCCCAATGAAGCTTCTGGCTCTGGTTTTGACCTGGCACAGCCCAACTATTAGAGCCATTTGGGGATTGAGACAGCAGATGGCACATCTGTTTTACATTGTAGATTTTCCATCTACGTGGTCTGTTTAGAGTAGAGGTAAAGGACCTCTGAGCGCAGCAGTTTCTAGCTCACCTCCTTTTTGTCCTCTTGTTTGTTTTAGTAATAAAAGTTTGAATGTAGAGGAGGAACATGACAGTGGTTGTCACATACATGAAAGGCTTCAAAGGGTTTCAAAGACAGGAAGTCTGAAGGCAGAGCTAGTATCATCTAGTGGAGCTTGGAAGAAACAGCTTTCATTGAGTCATAACACATGAAAGAGCATTCCCAAAAGGAGTTCTTTGCTTCTCTCCTCCCTAATGATACACATACAGTAAATGGCCAAGAATGTGTCATAGAAAATGTTTAGTTTGCATTGCAGGAGTGGGCCAGAATATCAGAAAATCTCTGTGCCTGGTAAGCATTTCTGCATTATATTATGAGACAAACCGATACAGCTGGAAGAGTATTTCAACAGACTTGAAAACTGTCTTTGTCACTTAATAGCAATATGCCCTTGGTCAAGTCATTGAATGTGTCTGAGCTGTTTCTTGTTTGGAAATGGGTGCCTGAACTAGTTAATGTTGAAAGGCATCTCCACCTGATCTTGGCCAAGAGGGTGAGAAGGGTTAAAATTATCTTCACATCAGAATAGTGAGAAGGTTTGGGCCTTCAGAACATCGGGAGCTTGAGCTCGATAGTGACTTGAGCCCTTTGGCTTTACTGGATATAGTTGCTTAAAATAGTCTGTTAATGACCAGATGATCGGCCTGCCCTCAAATGCTTTTCTTAAGTACTGCTGTGCATACAGTGTCATGGTGAATTTAACTGCAAGGAATTTTATTTTGATAGAAAAAAATCTTAATTTTATTTTTTAGTTGTATTTTATCAAGTTTGTATGCAGCATTATGCAAATTGGAAATGCTGAGAGACGAGATGAGGGAAAGCTTTTGTGGAGGACACTGTTTTTGAGATTGAGCTTGGAAGTATATATGCAAGCTTGGTAGAGTATTTAATGGAAAAGTATTAACTACTTTAAATAACATAAGCAACAAAAGATAAATTTTTTAACATATGTTGAGTCAATTTTTTAAATCAAGCTAAGCTTTGCTAAGAAAACCATTTCCAAATACAGTCTGTGTAAAGAGGAAGTTGTTGGATTTTGTAAATAAATTCTTGTTTTCCTTTGTTTTGTGATTGCTTTGAACTTTTATTTTTGCTTATTTAGATACACAGAAGTAAAAACAAATGGAAATTTCATCTTAAGGATGGCATTATGAATCTTAATGGAAGAGATTATATATTTTCCAAAGCCATTGGAGATGCGGAATGGTGAAGAGTTGCTTCTTTTCTTTTATAAATAAAAAGAAACTTTAAACAAACAAAAAAAATGAAGTGGACGGTTTGAAACTTGGGACATAGACCAACCAAAACTTCACTTCTGCATGTGAGAAAAGTGCAGTAGAAGCAAAGCTACTGGAGCAGAGCTAGACCTTGGCAACACAGACACTACTTCCAAATGGCAAGCCATGGAGCTGTGGCACCTGGGGCTGGTGGGGCAGGGGGTTGGGGTTTTGTGTAGGAAAACCGTAATTGTTGATTTTAAATGCAGGTACTTGCCACTGGTAATTAGCATGTAAAGCTTTGTCCATATTCCTTCCTCCAACTTTGGCTCAATCAGAAGATAACTCGGAATGAACTGAAGAGATCCCTTTTGATAGATTGAATTGAACATGTTTATTGTATGTGGTTATATTTGGTAAAAATTGCGTGAGGTTTTTACAAAAGGGTAAGAATTACGGTGTTGAATTTTAATTCACTTGTGTAAGAAAGCAATTTAAAACTCTCACAATAGGTCTTAAATATTTTTACTTGCTATTCTCCCTCCATAATATATACCTCGTCCTTCCCAGCTTTAGGAAACAGCTACTTCAGATGTGAAGGAAGCAATCAGTGCTCAAGTTGTAGATGCAGACTTGAACCAGGTCTGGGTGTTGATTTTAATTAGGTTTTCTTACTCAATAAATGTAGTTTGATGACTTGGGCCTTCTCTGTGTTCAGTGGAATTAAAATGATAACTGCAATTTCCTTGCTGAAAAACTTCTTTTGTTTACCACCTTAAAAAGAAACCCCACATTGGCTCTTCAGGAATATATCTTTGTTTCCAGAAGGACCATCTGGTTGAACTGTCTGCACGTGAGTGTAGACGGATGTTTCTGTCAGGCTGCATTATGTGCTCACGTGAGTCTTCAGTCTTGACCCATCCAGACGGCACTCTATTCTTTGATTGACACATAGAGCAAGTGAGAAGGACCTGGGTTTTTATTAAGAAATTTAGTAGTTTAGTTTCTTGTGTTTACTAGTAGGAAATAAAAAGCCTGTTAATCTAATTGAACATTTTTTTTTAAAGCCGCTTTGTAATTTGAGAGGGATAGTTGTGGCATAGGGTCGGGGTGGGCCACTGAAGTATGTACTTACCTCTGGTGTGGTGGCCTTTCCAGGCCATCAGTAACACGGACATGGGCTCCAGTTTGTCCATGTGGAAGAAGGCATCGAAATTTGGCTTGTACATTAAAAACAATAGAAGTCTAGTAAGTGTATTAAGAATGCATAGTTCTGCATTCCAACAAAGGGCTTAAAAGAACACTATGGCAGTGCTGTATCGAGCATAAACCGGCTGCCTGGGAGAGCGGCAGAACATTCGTCTTCACCTTTGCGTTCTTAAAACTGGTTTGACTTTTCATGAAGTATATGGACAAAATTCACGTGTATTTAAAATTGCTTATCTGTTGGTTTAGTTTTCAGTCTTCCAGGTTTGTCTTCCTTTTATTTGCCTTAGAGTGTTTCCACAAGTAACACTTAAAACACTTTAAAGTACATTGCAAAGAAGAAAACTGTGAGCTATCACGTAGTTTTTTTTTAAAGTCTGAACTTTTCCATAGGTATCTCTTTTTAGCCCACTTTGCACCCCACTGAGTCGCTTGGTCTGATTAAATTCCTTCAACTTCAGTGTGAATCGCCGTGTCTGGTGTCTGACAACGCTAGTGGTTGGGTTTTATTTAGATCCCGTAACTGATAATACAGTTTTTGACTATATTTGTAGTTTTTTCCTTGGGAAGTTTGTTTACCCCCTGCTCTGAAAGCAGACACAGGTCTGTTATCATTGAGGCTGAGGGAAGAGGAGGACGGGAGGAGTGAACTCGCGGAGGTCCTGTTGGCCTTTCCTGCGGGGTGGTGCTAGGGGCTCTTACGGAGAGAAGTGGTGAATGACCTGAACTGCCTCGAGCGTGGGCGGCGCTGCAGTGTTGCTTGAGTGAACCCACTGGGCTGTCCAGTAGTCCATACGCTGCTGAGGCCTGGATCGCTGTATCATCTGTAGCTCATGTCTGGCCCTCAATACAGACATGGTTTTTCATAGTGGCATCGTAGACTGGCCTATTTTTGCAACTTTATCTTCAAAAATGAACAACTGCTGCTTCCAAAGTGACTCGTTAGAGTTCTTTTGAAGCAGGAAATAACCATTTGTATTTGCACCTGTGTATTACATAGTAATTATGGCATATTTGGCAAATGCTTTTCTTTTACCTGTGAAAATTCTGAAAGCTAGTTCAAACAACACTGCATACCAAATTGTGCTCTTACATATCATGTATTGTGTTAACTTTGTAATCAAATAGCATGTTTTAGTTTTATTATAGTAGCTTTTATTATAAGAATGTCATTTGCTTATCTTTTATTGTACTTGAATTTCTTAATCATGCTTTTAACATTGTATTTAACAACTCATTTCATTAGGTTACATTGACATGTCATTCCTTTGAAAAGGCAAGGGGTTCCTACTTTCAGAATTTTTAAATGAAAACATGTTTATGGAAAGGGGAAAAATAGTTGAGTCTTGGTATTACAACAATGGTTTCAGAAGAGGATTTATTTTGATTTGCACAGATGAGATGGCACCTTTTGCCGTTAACTAATAGTGCTAAGGAGCATTCACACAGAAGTACCCTCTAGAGTGTGCAAGCGTGTGCCTTCGGTATGTGAACTCTTGCTGAGCAGTCATTTGGATAATCAAACCACTTGCATGCCTCGGAGCACGTCTGACCTGTGGAGTCTGACTGGTGGTGGCTGGCACGAGTCTGTAATGTGCAATTAGCACCTAGAGCAAATGCCTGGTGTTTGAGGGAGATCTCTGAATTGGGCGTTTATATATTTATTTTAAATATATATTTTTTCTTTTAATTAAATGCCATCGGAATGTCACATATTACACTGTTGCCTTTTTAAAAATCAAAGCCACTCTGGTGTTATCCCTCTGGGATTATATCAAGATATGAGCAGGTGTATAGCGATTCAGATGTGTTCACGACACCTTAATAGATTCAGGGTTTAGAAAACAACACAAAAATATAGTATCTTTTGTCTAAAGATTTTCTTTTGCTATAGTGAAAATTGACAAGTTTTTTTCACTTTTTTCCTGAGATTGATAGAGGAAAAAGAAGGTGTAAAATTTTCTTCTCTCAGAGCAATAATGTCACCGTTATCACCGGAGGGGAAATAGAAGAAAAGCAAGACGCGATTCCTCCTTGGGAGTTCCCTTTATAACTTAGCGTTTTCTTTCACTTGAGAAGACTGTTTCATTTTTCAGGTTATTTCATCTGGAATTTTTTGAGTTTTTGTGCAATGTAATATTTTATTGATCTATGTTTGTACTTTGTCATTTTATTTCATGCCTGTCTACGTATCTGATTCAGCTATAGTGGATTTTTTAACTCATTGGTTAAACAGCAACAAGAAAACCCCCCAGTTTTACATATTTCCTCATGGTTTGTGCTGAATGATTTTGCATTTTAATCCTTTATGATGCTATGGACATTATTCTGTACTTTTTAGACCTGCCTTAGTCTTTTTTTTTTTTCCATTTTCTGTGGTTTAAAGAACACACCAAACTTAACTGTTGTTTTGGGAAACAAAGATTCTTTTATCCTCCTAAGGGGAAAACTGTATTGAGTTAATAATTACTGTTTCAGACAAGTTTCCTTAAATCAGTCCAGTATCAGGGCTGCAGTTTTGGGGGAGGGGCTAATCGTTTTTGCTGTTCTGGGCTACTGTTGTCAACTGCTGTTGTACGTACTGTTATGTCTAAGGGCGTAAATATATTTATTATGTTTGTAAAATTCATTCTGTACAATTGCAGATCAAGGTTGCTCTTCTGTGACATATGGGATATTATGTTTTAAAGACCATCTTGGAATACAATTTAGAGAACTTAGTATTTTGATGTACTAAGATCTATTTTAAGTTTAATATTTTACCTTTGCAAAAACTTTAATTAAAGATGTTATTTAAAAAAAAGTAATGTTGCTTGCTTTGCGTGCTAGAGTATGATACTGCTATGTTTGCTGAGTAAGAACACAGAGTTGAGACGGAAAAATGCTTCATGTTAATGAGGATAAGTTTAAGTAAGAAAAGTTATTCAGTTCTGTGCTTTCAAGATAAGTCTACTGGGATGTCTGAATTATTAAACTCTAAAAAATCTTTAACAGTAGCTTTTTAAAAATTGTGTTTTCTGGGCACAAAAAGCAATTTGGTTGGGCTAACTTCAACACAATGTAACTAAGAATGTGTAAAATTTAGCACATTGTACTAAATGGGTATTTCTAATCCAGAGCGTTGATGACTTAGAGTTTGAGAATGTTAATTTCTTCTCTGTTTAGGTGAATCATCTTCCTCTTAGTTCAGAGTTTGTAAATAATTGCATATTAAGGGAATTGGATTATTGAGGTTTGTATTACAAATTGAATATTTTTGTGTTATTTTCAAAGATGCTAAATAATTAGCAGGTATTTTAATTTTATAGATAATTCAAATGAATCATTAAGAAAGCAAGCTTGCCTTTTATAGCTTTTTTTTTATCCTGTTAAAGCTATCTAGGAAACGTGCAGATTTTAACTATTCATCATAATAAAGATTTTATTTATTACCAGTAAGTTGTATTTTTGCAGTTTAATTTAAGCTCCGTTGATTATCTTTTTGGCCTCAGAATCTTCTTCTGTAAGATGACAAGATTTTTTAAAATTTTAGGTAGAAAAATCTCCTTTCTGGTGGTCCTATCCTCAGATAGCCATAGCAGCTGGGGCCCGGCCAGGCTGAGGCAGGGGAGGCAGGAACCCGGTCATCTGAGCTGTCACTTGGTGCTTTCCAGAGTGTGCACTAGCAGAAAACCAGAGCTGAAAGCAAGGAATGGAACCCAGGCGCTCTGAAGCACCTGAGATTTTGATTATTCAATGAGGTAAAGCTCTGCTGCCCCGGCAGTGTTTTTGTTGCGCTTGTGGGAGTGGCGAGCAGGCAGCGGAATGAGGAGTGGCCCCAGAGTGCTGCTGCTGCAGAAGCAGGGCCAGAGCCTGCAAGCATGTTCACCCCTTAGGAAACCACTCAGATTCTTGGTTACAGATAATAAAACTGGCAGTTCTGAGCAGGAAGGGTAGATGGCAGGATCAGTAGGAAGGCTGGGAAATGAGGCTCAGAAGTAAGGCGACTGGGGCAGACTAGTGACAGGCCAAAGATGCCCCAGTCGCCTCTTCTTCACATAGCCTTATCCTCTGCTCTGTGGCTGAGCTCTCCTCAGGATAATTGGCATTATTGTAGGGCCCAGCTGGGTAACTAGAGAGACTCATTGAAATCCCTTTAAAATCCCTTTTGTCCACGTGTGATTACTTCTCTAGGTTTTAGGACCCAGGCATGTATTTCTCCGGGTCATGTTGCAAGCTGCTAGAGCTGGCCATCCATGTTAGTGTATTTTTACTGTACTTTCCTGAGACTGGGCAGTGCACATCCTCTCCTCTCTAGGACTTGATGGGGCAAAATTTTTTTCCATTAATTTTTTTCCTCGAACAAGACAGAACATAGATGTACCTTCATTGAAGCATCTTCTCACCCCTAGACCTTGATGGCTCAAAGTTCATGAATATAAAATGCACTAGGGTATGCATGTTGGTTTGGGTGTCCCCAAAAGGCCTATGTGTTCAAGGGGATGTTCCCCTGGCTGTTCCTAGCGGCAGGGCGTGCCTGGAGGGAGGTCCTTAGGTCATTGGGGGCAGGCCATTGGCAACGCAGTCCTCGTGAGAAAAGGTGGTACTAAAGGACTGAATTGAGCCCAGCTGTACGCTCTGCTTCCTGCCTCACCATGGGATTGTTTGTGCGCTTCCCCAATGCCCTTGTCGAATGGATCACGGGCTGGAACCTGCAAAACAGCTAAAGAAGCCTTTTCTCTCTTTTTAAAAACATTTATTTATTTTTATTGGAAAGATATACAGAGAGGAGGAGAGACAAAGAGGAAGATCTGTCCAATAAATCACTCCCCAAGTGGCTGCAACGGCTGGTGCTGCGCTGATCCGAGGTAAGGAGCCAGGAACTTTTTCTGGGTCTCCTATGTGGGTGCAGGGTCCCAAGGCCTTGGATTGTCCTCGACTGCCTTCCCAGGCCACAAGCAGGGAGCTGGATGGGAAACAGGACTGCCAGGATTAGAACTGGCATCCATATGGGATCCCAGCACATTCAAGGCAAGGACTTCAGCCACTAGGCTACCACCTTGGGACCCTGCACCCAATAAAAATAAAAATAAATCTTTTTTTTTTTAACTTTCTCTATGAAGTTAGTTGCCTCCGGTGTTATGTTGTGGTGATGAGAACCTAAGAGAGAACATTGGCACTGAGGAGCGTGTAACTATATGGATATATATATTCACACGCAGAGTTAAGTAATTACACCTGAAGTCACTGGTGAGAAGAGTTAGGAAAACGATGGGGCTACAGTCTAGAGGAAGCCCAGACTCCTGAAGGCAGAGGGTTACAGGTGCTTCCAGTCAGACTGGAGAACAGAGGGCTGATACAACTGTGGAAGTTTCAGGTCAGGCTGGCAAAGTTCAGTAGGGAACTGGGCTCCAGGCCAGTCTCTTTGCATCACAGCAAAGGAGCTGGTTTCCTGGTGTCTCCGCCCCGAGGCTTGATAGGAAGCCAGACCTAAAGGTGCTGCACTAGTTTTTGGCAGAAGAGATTTCAAGGCAGCAAAGCTTTCGGGCAATGGCTGGGGTCTTACTGGCCGCGCCGTTAGTGTCATGGTGACAATCAAAAGCCAAGGGGAACAGGAGGGAAGGATCTGAGAAATGAGAGGGCTGGCCAGCAGAGAAGGAACTGACCAAGGGTATGCTGGGCAGTGCGCTGGGGGAACTGCTTAAGTGATTCGTGTAGGAAAAAGGAGCCTCACGCTAATCCCCTCGATGGCAGGAAGTTCATCCTGATAATGCTGAGTCCGTCTCTCCCATCAGAGGCTCTAAGGCCTAGAAGAGCTGAGTTGCTTTCTGGAACCCAAGGCCCTTTCTTACGGTTCCCGGACTGTCGTGGGCTACACATCCATGCCCACTTAGAGCTGGCACATATGCAGGCGGGGGTCAGTGGAGCCCAGGTGCAGCTCCTGCTGGTGACGGACCTCAGCATAGCTCTGCGGTGCTGGCTTTGCAGGCCAGTGGAATGCGCAACTCCCTAACTCTTCTGACAGGAGGAACGGGCTTTTCAAGCAGCTCTGGAAAGGCACTGTCTCTGCCTGCTGTCTCAGCTCAGAGCGCCCCATCTGCTCTGGCTCTTCCTGTCGCCTGGGTTGACAATGACCCTTCAGTTTGGGCATGTCTTGATCTTGTTCACCAACCTGACAGACTTGCAGAGTAAGTGTAGGGAGTCGCTTGTGACACAGGTGTATGTCATCAAGGTCATTTCACAATTCCCCACAGAAAGATCATTCATGTTTTTCAAAACAACAAAAACCAGAAGAGTTTTTAAGTCATGTTAGCCTTCCCCACATTTGGAATAAAGCTCACCCCCCTCGCCATGTTTTCACTTTGAGGCTAAATCATGTGGATTCGTTTTGGACAATTAATGCAGAGCTCAGCTGCCCAGACCCTGGGGTCTTCAAACAGAACTCACCTCATCAAGCTGCCTTTCAATCCCCATTTGAACTGTGTATGTGTGTGTGTGTGTGTGACTCAATGGGATTTCTCCTGCTTACAGTACACACAGCAAAAACTAGAATTCTTTGTCAACTTGCTAATAAAAGGAAGCTCAGATTCAGGTTGGTCAAAGAGCCATGCCCTGTACAGAAAGAAGAGTGCTTGAACTTTAAAGTTTCCACTTCCGGTTGAAGTATTAGTCTAGGGAGAATTCTAGTCTTTCCTATTACCAATCTTGAAAGAAAGGGGTTGATTTTGATATGAGAGTTAATGCTGTATGTTAGAGTTAGCAGGTTGTGCTGTTGCATTAGCTAGCTACTGGGTGGCTCAGCTAGAGAAATAAAAACAGAAGTTTGCAGCGAGAAAATCAGAACTGACCAAACTGCCGTGCATTCTTAGATGTCACCAAGATAGATCCCAAGACTGTACATCGTTGGAGGTTAAAAATATATTATACTGCTAGATATGCCAGTGTGTGTCTCTCTCTGAGTCCAGCAGCAGAGCTAGAAAGGAACCCAGCAGGCAAGGAGGCTGCCTTCTTGTAAACTCTCATCGGGGCAAGCAGCGTGTTGTCAGGCCCACTATAGAATGGTATTATTTTAACTCTATTCCATGATCCCATTCATTTGGAATAAAACCCCATCCAAATATTCCTCATCTTGGCTGTTTGCTGTCACACCCTGGTGCTTTACAATGTCTATGTGGGGCGAGGGCACCATGATCCAACTTATACAAAGGTCTGATATGTGCCAGCTGTGGCCCCGTTGGTGCTTCAGTTGCGAGAGGTGTTTTGTTTGCAATCATGCCACCTGTTGAAGGAGACCTGGTCCTGCCTGAGGCCAGTGATAGCTCAGGAGACAGCACCAAGAGGGGAAGACTTATGCAGAAGGAGTAGGAGGTGTAAGACGAAGCTTCACAACTTGAAGTCTCATGTGTTGCGAGTGTGCTTGGTATTGAACTGCTTAAGCCTTGAGAAAGCTGCCAGGCTTTGGGGCAATGCCAACCCCATGTTGATCACCTCTGTGTGCAGGCAGCAGGATCCTGTTCTCGGGGAGCTGGGATGGGAACAAATGCAGGGGAGCACTCTCAAGTATCACTTGTTAAAAGTGTGGTGTCTTGATGGAAATAGGTCGTCTTCTCTTTCACTCTGGAGGGAGAGAAAGGCTTTGAGTTCAGGTGAAGAGTTTCATTAGTCAGGGGAGAGAGCCTAGCAGATAGGAGATGGCCTGGGACCGCTTTCACATGGCAGGGTGACCACAAAGGGAAATGGCCACCCAGGGTATGCAGCCCTGGACTTTATACATCTTAGGTACAGGGGATGGGGGAAGGCAGCAGCTCCTCAGTGTGCACATGCTTGTGGCTTGGGCAGGGGTATTCATCGCGGCAGGTGTCAACCTTCTGCACAGAGGCAAGGTCAGGAGGGTTTGGCATTCAACGCATTCCTGGACCAGAGGATCGGCTTGACTTCCGCAGGATGGTAACAGCACTTCTGCTTTGCCAAACTTAACAAAAACTTGTCTC